AATGTTGAAACTCCAGCTTACAGCAGTTTTTCCCTATTGGCATACTATCAGTTCTAAATTATTCTATCCTCTTTGCATCTCCATGAAAGACATCACTAAAAATGAAGGCTTAACAAAACAAGAGAGATGCTATGAAAGTTAGTGAATATGTATGAAGATCTTTAGAATGTTTACAAACTAGTAACTAAAAAAAAAAGTGTCACCCATCAACAGGACCTTGCCGGAACATCAGAGACATTTTATTTTTAATTTCTGTCTTCTATCATAGCAGCATAAACAGGTTAAGGTGTTTGGGAAGTGCATTCTGAGATGTAGGAACAAAGAAAACATTTAGAAAACAATAAAACGTGCTAATGTTGTCTACAGAAGAGTAAAAAAGGAAAACAAAAAAGAAGTCAACAAAAATAACAATATATAAAAAGACAGAAACAATACCTATCAAAAATCAAATAAAAATAAACAAAATCATTTTTTTAACAAAATCAAAAAATATAGACAAAAACAATTTATTCTATAATATAAAACCCAATACAGTTATCTATATTTCTCAGTCACACACCCTTATTGCCCCCTTTTCTCAATAGATGCTGTTATTATGGTCAGGGCCAGTGTATACTAACCCTGAATCCCTCAACCGATGGTGACCTAAGCCTGATTGAGGGCCATAAGCAGTGCTTTGTGACCCTCACTATCTTAACATTTGCTTTTTTCTACCAACATTTATATATTACAGATTAAAATAAGCACAACTATGAAAGAATGGAAATTTTTTGTAGATTTTGATATTCTAGGGTTTTTTTTCTTTTTGGTTGTCCAAATCCATGAATTTGTTTTGCTCATGCTAAATTTTGAAAAAACACTCAATATAAAATTCACTATTTTTTTATTCATAATGTTGAATGTGAATTATTTAAAAATAGAAAAAAAATAGATGTTAAAATTTGATTTATTTAAGATGGAATGATCTATTATGATATGTCTCCAATTTGTATTTAGATACATTGTATTTATTTTTAATTCACCTATATTGCATATGGTCCAAAGCCAAAATCTTAATTAGATTTTCCTTGCCCTGTTGTGAACATCAGACAAGATTTTGCTATTTCTTGTGGTCCATAGTAAAAGACTTAGAGAAGCTAAGAAGCCTCTATTTCTAGGGTCCCTATGCAACTCTATGTCCTGCAATGTCCATATTGTTTGTTTTCACTGGCCAGTAATGCAAGTAACTAGCAAGGTGTGACATATCCAGTCTTAGTCCCTGCCTCAGGAATTGCAGAAGACTATCCAAAGGCTTAGTGACTTCTGTTGCATTCTACACATCTTTTTCTTGTAATGTTGAATGAGGACACTTAAAGTCTCTTAGTAATCATAATGGCAGTGTTCTTCTATGTTCTGCTAACGTATGAGGTGGTAGAGACAAATGAACGCTTGTATATTCGCAACTATTTTAAAAAATAACAATGAAGAACAGTTACTTAAAAACCAAAAACTATCAAACCAACTTTTAAAATAGTTTTAATTTTGTTTTTTTTTTATCTCTGCAAGCTCCAGTTCTAATGTTAAAGTTTAGACATGTCTTTGCCAAAACTGACTACATTATTTTTTTTATAGTAATGTAAATTTTGATATGACCGATATTTCTTTCTGGTCCACATTTTTTATCTACAATAAATAATACACAAGTGGGTAGGTACAAAATCCATAAATTTGACTATCTATTCATATCAGTCAGAATTGTAATGTTGTGTTATGTATAGATGCATTATTAAGAAATAGTTTATCTGTAGTCAAAAGATTTGATGGCAATCTTTAAGTAATTTGGCAATTGCTTTGGTTATATCTTCAACATGGCTAATCTAGGGGTTTTAAAAGTAAAAATATTTAAAGAAAGATGCTTTTGTATATGATTATAAATATTCACTATATAACAGCTATATTTAAGTCATTTTGCTGTTACCCTGGTTATTTTTGTCTACATGAGTAATCTACAGTTTTTAACTGTCACACATAAAGAATTCTGTTTTTTAAATCATTAAGAGTAAAAATATCCATTGAAAGCCAACATGAAATAAAAGAAATGAAAAGCAAAATATTAATCAGGCTCTACTGAAAGTGTTAGAATTTACTAATTGCATATAAAAAAAGTATGATGGAGCAAACATCAATAAACAGACTTAATTAAAGTGTGAGGTGTGTCCCTATGTACATAAATATTAATTTCAAGCATGTTTTGTTGAATAATATTATCAAGTTCTTTCTATCCAACTTTTTCAAATTTCTGAATTAGTTGATTTATATAATCGATAAATTTACCAAAGTTCATCCCCCACCACCCAAGTACTTTCGAATGTTGCGACATTTGTTTTCAAGGATTTAATTTTTATGTAACTGTTTTTGGTTAATTCTGGCATTCTCTCATTTGCTGGAACAAGTTTCAAGACACTGAAGATGACATCATTTATAATAGTCAAACTAATTTTTTTTTTAAATTAAAATACATGTAAAAAATTAGCTTGTCTGTCAGAAACGACATCACCTTCACTTGAAATTGGTTCCAGCAAGTGTGAGAATGCCAAAATTAACCAAAAACAGTTACATAAACACACAAAAATGAAATCCTTGAAAACAAATGTAGCAACATTCAAAAGTACTTGCAAAGTGTGTGTGTGTGGGGGGGGTGATAAAATAATGAACTTTCAATAAAAAAAATTAGGTAGGCAGAACTTGTCAATATTATTCAATAAAACATGTTTGAAAGAATTCTTGCTGCCTGAATACACCTTGTTTAAATATATTAATGTATACGTTGAATGAAAATGTGTGCAGCACATACCTTCTACATTAATGGTTGTATGTAAATATATTTCATAGACATGCAGGTTTCTGTTATCTCAATGTAAATACATCTGGGAGCACTTGGATGTGTGTGGAAATGTATAAATAATACAAAATAATTAATAACTTTCTGCATTTATGATAGATAGCAAACTAAAACAAAAACAAAAAAAAACATGGAAGGTGTACTTTTACAAAGTAAATTTGTGAACAGAGTAAAGAAAATCCAACAAAAATAAATAAAGAGAGAGAGAGAGAGAACTAGCATCTCCAAATTAAAAAAAAAGTTTATAATGTATAAACAAATACCTATGCTCATACACAAACTATGTGTGTGCGTGTGTGTGCGCAAATAAAGTTATATGGGAATCTGATAGAATGTTAAATACATAAGACAATTTGGAAGACTTCCAATTGACAGATTTTTCTGATGAAACACACATATATATATATATATATATATTGCTCATTCGCTTAAGGTAAAATTTTCTATTTTGCTAATAGGAGGAAGGGAAATGATTTTGTCACAATCTGTTTATTGTTTGGGAAATTTCATGTTTGGTAAAATATTACACACATGTATTATTTAAAACCTTCCAGCATTCATATTTGGTCTGGTGATTGTAGAAACCCCCCCACACACACACACATCCCCAAGCAGACAGATTTGAATAAGAGTCTAAAATACTGGAGGAAAAAAAAAAAAAAATAAATAAAAAGTCATCATTTAGCAATGATATCACACGATTCTTTTTCTTCAGTGCAGAAGACTTATTTAAAAATGAAATCAAAAGTACATTTAGTCATGTGATCTCATTACCATAAAATAGGTACTTCAAATGGTAGAGAAATTCTTCTGAATAATCATTTTCCAAAGTTTCTATTGGATCATTAAAAATTGAATATATATATATATATTTTTTTAATGTTTTAAGATGTTTTCTACAACCTAAACATGGCTATTAATGCTCTCAAATCATAAATAAGGCATATTCAGTTTCTAAGACAGTGGAAAAAAATGTTCTTTTGTATGCCTCTTTTTCTTTGGAAATAAAAGAAAATTAACACTTTTTTTTTTCAGTATCTGTTATTAACACGTAAGCATCCCAGCTTTTTGCATACAAGTGGAATTTACAGATCAATCAGTTTAAAGAGTCACTCAGGAAAAGTAATATTTATATATAGACATTTTCTTTCTTCAATGAAAATTTACATTTGTCGCTTTCAATTGCTATTTATACAACAGAATTGGTCAGTTAAGCGTCTGGTTTAAATGTTCACATGTTTAAAGAAATATTAACATCTTGAACCAAAAAGCCTCTGGTTAATTCTGAAGAGGCAGAATTGAAATCTGCAGAAAATAACTGCACAGTAACAGCAATAATAATTAATAGGGAGTATTAAAGAGTATTTGTGCAGGAGCGACATTTTTACTGAGGCAGTCAACACTACCAGACATTGTAAAGAGACAAAACACTACTAAAAAATATTTTAAAAATAGAGAGAAGAAAAATTTTCCAGGTAAAAATGTCATTTTATTTTATCTATATCATTTTGTGCTTTTTTTTATGCTTGTCTCATTTAAAAACCTGTGCATAACAAAGGTTTATTTTAATGACCATGCAAACATAACATTCTGGGGAAAATATCATTTTTTTTTCTTTTTCAAACCATGCAGGAAGGAAAACATTTTACTCGCCAAACTAATCCCCCACTCAACAAACAAAAAGAAAAAAGTAATCCCGACTCAAGTTTGTGTTTTCTTTCTTTCTTTTTTTTGGAAGAATTTACGTCTGGTGTGAGAGCATGCGTTATTTGTTCTTTTAACACAAACTGCATATCTACTTCATCCCAAACCATCAATAGAAACACCAGAAAGGAAAAAGAAATAAAAGAAGAATGTTTTTTTTTAAAAAAAAAATATTTTAAAGAGAAAAGCAAAATTATGTAAATAAAAAATAATCTTTCTTTTAAATTCCCAAACAAATCTTTGATTGTGGGGTCACTCATCATGCAAACACAAACAGAAAAGAAAAGAAAAAAAAATACACCACCCACCCCACCCAACACAAAAGAAAACTTGAATTTGGGGTGGGAAGAAATGCACCAGGAATAAAAAAAAAAAAAAAAAAAAAAAAAATATCAGAGCTATTGTCCTAAGATACCTGTATGATTTCTAAACTTCCATGTAACGAACTATGACTTCCACTAGATGATATACTGCTGTTGGACTGGTAAGAATCTGCCGAACCACGCATTCGGCATGTTAAGTTTTCAAAAATTCCCGTAGAATAAATATCTGCACTTGCTCCACACCGCAGAGGCAGTTTGTCCAAAGGGGAACAAGAACAGTCTAACTCCGAAGGGTCCTCCTCTGAGGTCAGAATGTCATCCAAACTACGAGACTTTCGAGAATTCTCAGACACGTGTGTCCTTACCATGGCACTTTCCATGGCAGCTGCAATTTGCTTGTACACGTGCCGTTCAGAGTAGCGTCCATAATGCCACCGTCCCCCTGTGTCGGAAGGCTTCGATTTCTTGCTGTTGTGCATTAAGTATGCTTCGGATGTATCATCCTGTGATGTGCTACTACTTGATCCTGGAGATTCCTGACAGTCGGATCCAAGGTCGAACGTCGGGTACGTGGAGAACGCAATACTGTTTGGACGCACCAATGGCCGCTTGGCACGGTTCTCCCGTGACCGGAGAATCACCTTGGTAGTGCCAGCGCTCATGGGTGACGTCACTGCCGAGCTCGATGTCGAACTGCTGCTGGTCGAGCTGGGCGAGAGAGGTTCAATAAATTTGCTGTCAATGTTGCTGTCATTCGTCGATGCCGAAGAGGACAACGATGACGATGAGAGAGACGATGATTTTGGTCGTTTGACAGCAGTGTTACGCGGACGCATGCATACGCTGGTAGGGGTGCTGCCAGAAATACAAGGAGTTGCATTGTTGCTCCCATTTGAATTAATGCAGCTGGCCATGCCGCTAGTTTTTGTAATGTTCGTACTCACAGGAGTACATTTTGAGGCCGTATCATCCTTGGCAAAACAAGGAGTAAAGCTCAGTTTGTCCAATGAGGTAGTCGGAAATTTGTGTATCTGAAGGTAGTTTTCCACAGTTACAGTTTCCGTGACTTCCATACTTTCTACAGAGTTCTGGTTAAAGTTCAGCTTAGCCAATGCTGCTGTTGGCGAAAGCACCAGCTTTTGCACCCCAGGTGGGGTGGTAGGAGTCGTATGTGTAGACTTGAAAGGCAGGCTTGTGATTGTTTGTGGTCGTTCAGGGGAGGAAATAATGTGTGTGGGGGTATCAGTAGTGATGGTAGTGGCGGTGGTAGTATTAGTATTGGTGCTAGTTGAAGTGGTGGTAGTATTAGTAGTTGAAGAAGTGGTAAAAGAAGGGGATGAGGCAGAGGCAGATATGGAGGCTGCTGCTGCCTTTAAGAGACTCGAGCCAGACACTGTCGAATTGGTAACTGGTGATACCATCCTTGTGTGTCGAGTATCAACATCTACAACAACAGCGGTAGCAGGCGGAGACAGTATGGTTGTAGACGCCGTGGCCGCAACGGGTGGCCGCACAATAACTGTTGTTGCTGGTGTTGGCACAGGTTCTGCAGCTGGTGCTGCTGAAGGCACCACCACAGGGGTTGGTGCTGTCAAGTGCTGGGGTCGATTTAGTGGGAGAAACATAGGAGGGCTTATTGAGGGACACGCCCGGTGAGCCTTTGGTACAGGCGACACAGGGCTGCTACACAGGTCCATTCCAAACTGACCGCCACGACATGGGTCAACACTTTTTCCTGAGGTTTCAGCCAATTTTTTGGCTCTTTCCTGATCTAATTTCAGCTGTTTTTCATATTCCAGCAATTGTCCCAAGAAATTGAAATTTGGGGAAATGGTTGGACGTTTATCTTTTACATATCTGAAATGAGAAAACATCACACTTAGAGTATCACTTACATTTTATCATTTGAGTAGAATTTGGGGATTGTTCAACCTCTATTTGGAATAGAGAGTATTTATTAATCCATATACACATTTTTTTTTTTTTGATATATCATGAAAACTTGTAAATTTTCCAATACATTTCAGGGAAATTTCCAAAGATTATAGTTTCAAGATATGGGAAAAAAAGTTTAAACTGACACCAAAAAAAAAAAAAAAAAAATACAAGTGTTAGTGTTACTACAATTTTTAGTCTTATGTTTTTCTTTTAAAGATTCAATAGAATTATAGATTCATATATAACAAGAAAATTCATAAAATGTTCATTGTAATTTAATCAAAGACACAATACAGCTGTATAGCCAATATCACTTGTGCAGAGAAAAATGTATTATTCTTATAATAAACAAATAGAGAAAATTATTCCAAAATGAATACAAAAATAGACATGATTGGGTAGAAATGGTGTTCAAATGAGAATTGTGCAAATTATTGCATTTTAACAATACAGATCATTGGTATAAGCTCAAACAAAAAGCTGTTCTATGGAACAAAAACATAAAATTCTTTGTGATTTGGAAATTCAAAACAGAGCCTCTAGTCCTGGCCAGAATAAGGATCTAGTATTGATAAACAAAAAAAAAATCTCTTGGTGAACGTTACTATCTAAGTAGATCATAAGATTGAAACTAAAAGAGAATAAAAAGCTTTCAAAATATCTGAACCTTTTCAGAGAACAAGTGAAATTGTTGAGCTTGAAGGTGACAAGTCTACCCATGGTACTTAAGGAGTATGCCAAAATATAGAGGAAATTTGCTGTCCAATAAAAACCATCAGTAGGAAATGTCAACAAGTACAACACTCCTTCCATATATACATTGGATCTGGATATGTAATTGAGTTTTACATGAGATGCATATAGTTATATTATGGGAAAGTTTCATTGTTTTTTTTTTTTTATTTTAGTCAACAATTGTAAAAAATATCCATAAAGACAGTGGCAAGTAAAAACAGGTTTTAACAAATATGAAATCATCAACAAAAATAAATTTAATATCATAACTTAAAAATTGAAAAATAAACATGTACGGATATGAAGTTAACTACTTGAGAATTACCAAGAACATTTCCAACTATAATGCAATTTTAAAACATTCAAAAGCAAGACAGACTCAGAATTATCTGTTTTAACAGGTAAAAATGAATTTCTAAGTCTATCTTTAACATACAAAACCAACGAGAAATGAATCCCAACAAATAAAAAGAGTCTGAAAAGATTAAAAAATAAAAAAAAGTGGCAAAGGGTTCATGCATACCACAGTTTTTTTCCAGGATAAATAATTTTTGTGCAATCAGTCAGTTATGTGCCATGTGTGATACACACTTAGGAGATCATGTATCTTTTGATATCTTTCTGTGGTAGACCAGTTGCCATCCAAGGCTATAGAACCTGGTCTGTCCTGTTATTTACCCATAGCTGGGAGGAGAAGAAAAGGATTCATACCTTTCCCAAGGGTATTAGCACGTAAGTGAATGTAATAGATTCAACTGGAATTTGAACATGGCTCTCCAATTTCTCAATCAGAGCCGCTATCCATTACTCCATCATACCTCCTTCTATTCATGATATCTTGAAAATATCCCATTCTTTCATATCTTAGGAAAAATTGTGAATATTAGTAGTGTAAACAGAGAAGACCCTTGCTTCTATATATCATTCCCATGTCAGTTCTATGCAGAGGAACAGAAAACATGAAAGAAGGTTGAAGGGTCAGGGTTGAGTAAATGAGAAAAGAAGATGCGGTTAGTGGTTTCTTCCTTTTCAAGATGACAAAGGTAGAAAATTGTATTGAGAGTTTTTGCAACTCATCAATGAATTTGCCAAAAATAAACAAAGAATTGAATTAATTTACAAATAAATAAGTTTTAAACAAGTCATTATTGGTTGATTTTATTATTTTCTTGCGTTTCTCTCTTAACTATTAACAGTCACCATAGACTGCATGCACTGGTGGTTCAAAATCACTTTCACCATTGGTAAAAGCAATTAATACCTAAGGAGCCAAGATTATACCACAAAACATTACTACACTTGTGAGTTACTCATGCATTTATGATCTTATACTAAACTTGTATAGTAAATGCCCATCTATCCAAATTTTAAAAAAAAGAAAACATTTTGACTATATATAACCTGAATCTTTTTGAGTTCATTTCCTGCAACTGGCATCTACTGTCTTTGCTATTTTCCTTCTTGAAAATAATCCAAAAGGTTATTCATTAAGAGATAAAGAACATGTTGAATTAAGCTTTCATCTATAAACATTACCCTGTTGACAACTGCAACTTTTACTCATTAGTTGAACATCTTACACATGGACAACTCCAGACCCAATGGCTACAAATAATGACAACAGCTAAAGACTAGAAAATGGTTGCTGGAAAATAGCTAGTGGCAAAATTCCTAAAATAAACAAGAGTACCTTGTGCAAAATAATTGCTTAAACCTTTCAACTTAAGATAACAAGGTTCAGATTTCAATTTCTAACAGCATCTTAATAAGCAAAAACAATCTATAAGAATTTAATTCAGAATTAAGAGGCATTCCCAAGTTTGAAAGAAAGATTTTTCAAAAACTGATGCTAAGTGATCTATGTACACAGGGAATCTGTTAACAAAAAAGTGAGAGAATGAGAGAGAGAAATAATTGGCTTTACAATTTTACTGACCTGTATGCATCATCAGAAGACATTTTTAAATGTCTCATAACATAAGCTATTGCCAGTGTGGGTGAGCGAGAAATCCCGGCAAGGCAATGGATAAGTACACAGCCGTTAGCTTCTCGCACTTTATCTGGAGAAAAAAAAAAATAAAAAATTGAAAAGAAAGAATAGAAATTAAAAAAATAATCTAGATATGCACAAAAGAAAAGGAAAGCAAAAATGAATAAGTGTATGCAAAAGGTTTTTTAAAATATGCTGAATTGGATATGCAGGGAAGAGTTTAAGCAGCAAAAAAGGGGGTGCAAATAGTGCATTGCAAGAGCAGGAAAAAAGGGCACATTGAGTTGGAGTGACTACATTTAAAAAAGTTTCAGTTTTTGTTTTGTTTTTTTTTAAAAAAAAAAAAGGCACAATTATAAAAAAGGAAACTTAGCTTTAAAAAAAAAAAAGTCCACACAACTGAGGGAATAAAGGCAATGCTTAGATCTAAAGAAGACACTTATTTTGAAGAGAGGAAAAAAAAACGAGTTCTCTTCATTGACTTAGATGAGTCCCATCAGACAAAAATGTTGAAATTTGTAGTGTATGAACAATAATATACAGGAGAGGAAACTAAGAAAGTATCTGTTAATAAATAATCCAACTTATTTTTAGAAAGTTGTCAACTTCACTAATTTCTTGACAAATGTTTTTAAATAGAGTTCTTGGATGTTTTTGGAAACATGTTCCTAAAATGTCTAATTAAGCTTTACTTCAACGGGGGGGGATCAACAATCATATCTTTTAATTGCCATGATCCATTTCAAAATGAAAAAGCTGCTATAAAGTAACAAACAAAATAACAATTCATGCTTCAAAAAAACGATTTCAGGATAGTGAAATCTTTTCTTACACTTATAAAAAAAAAATTTATCAAGAATACAGGGAAGGGCTTAACTCCTTTCACTTTTCATCTCACTGCAGAAAAGATTTTAATGATTGATCCAAGATGTTTAAATGACTGATTTGAATTTTCAAATGTTATTTCTTTATGTTTGTGGTTCTTTCACAACCCCCATAAAAGTTTGGATATTTTTAAATTCAACAATCTTCAGGTGCATTTTGCAAAGTTGGTGGGAACAGTTTTGTTTATAAGCCAGTGTACTGACTTATTTTTATGATGCTTTTTGCTACCAAACTGAAATTTGGTATAATCCATGCCCCGTTTTCTGAGGTTATATTTTGCTTCACTCCTTGCTTTAGTAGTTTTAACACAAAGGCAAACTTCTTCCAGAGAGTGGGGTTTTTGTTGTTTTCATCTCCTTGCATGTTAACTTTACTTTATTCCTGGGTCTTGGCATTCTCATTGCCAAAAGAAAGATATGAAATAAGAAAATATAAACCAAAACAATTTAGTCTTTCAGTTGAATAAACTGAAAATTAAAATATAACCAAGTTGGTATTTTTTAAATATTAGTTTATTTATGTACAAATGAACTAACATTACTGAGGTTACAACTATTTTCAGTCTCATTAATAAAATTTTCACCTGTTATTTTTATATTTAAAAAAATATATTTTTCAATTTACAGGGCATGTAATGGCACTAAAATATCAAACAACTAGATAGAAAGAATTTGTTTCTGTTGTCCCAATTCTATTTTGATCAGATATTGTGTTCATGGAGCCATTTTAAATTAATCTGTTCCAAGTGGCACACTCCTTTTAATTATTATCAATGCAAGCTATCACTTGTAATTACAGAGCAGCTGAAATCATAACAAAATATTTTCAACAATAACATTAACAGATGCAAACATCAGTGAGACTGAACAATTTTTGTACAGTATTAAATGCAAATGATATATTCTCAAAAGACTAGAGACTCCAAAAAACTTTTTAATCAAAGAAATGATTTCTCTTTAAGAAGATTATATATACAGAAATAGATATATGCAAACACAAAGCAGTCTGCCCAGAAAATATCCAGAACAATTCATATTATTTACATGAAGACTAAATATCCTCATCTTTGTTGCTACTATTATAATGTTTCAGCTATTGTGCTCCCTGACCTTCTTAAGATGTCTGTCTATCCAGGTAGCCATTGACAGGCACCTGAAGAAGACAAGAGGACATAATTGCTAAAACGATGCAATAACAACAAAGTTGAAGACATTAGTCTAAATGTAAATAATAACATTTCATACCAGAAATATTGACAGAAAATTCTGAGAACTGGTTATAGAGCCTTGATGTATCAAGGTAATTAATCAGAAAGAGGACCTTACTCCATGAGCATGAACAAATACTCTACTGTTGAGCTTACCCAGTCAGCAGTGTGTTATCACTGACTGAGCTTGAGTAATGAGTAACATTCTCAATGACCAAATAGATCAGTGAATAACTTGGGATGAGCAAATGTCTTTCAATGAGTAGAGCTCAAATAAAATTTTGAGTACCAATGCTTCAAAAGTTAACTGGAAATCCACTGAAAGCAATGCGATTATATAGGAATAAAGTGTTGCTGCCAAGCGTGTGTCAAATTGATCACTATTTCTAGTCTATCCTTTATATTATACGAATCTGCATTTCTATTCTATTCTCTATTACTATACGAACCATTATTCACTATACTACTTCTCTATATGGATTACTATTCTAGCCAGTATTACCGAGCAAGTACTATTAGTGCAAGTGATATTCGAAGGCATCTGACACCAGTATTGTTCAATGGCATACTATAGTGGTATCTGCAATTACAAAGTCTCTACTACAACAAGTCTTAAAAAAGTGACAACGAGTATTCGTTGACAATTATATATTAGGATTATATGGATTGTCTGGAAAATACATTGTCATTTTGAAATATCTCAACTGGCCATTCTCTACATCCTGGACAAACAATCTTTGAATACTTACTAATTTCTCATGCCCAGTAGAACAAGAAACACAAAACTGATTTCTTTGCTGCAAACAGTGTTGTATAGAAATAAAATGTTGTTGCCAACACTGTAGTTTGAACACAGATCACCAGTGAGAAAACACGGACAATTCCATTATTAAATAAGTAGATCACGTGATCAGAAAGTAAACGTATAAATGGGAATTAGTGTGACATCTAAGTGATCGCTATTCTCTATATTAGCCACTATACTATTTCTCTATACTGATCATTATACAAATTACTATTCCGTGATTACTATTTTAACAAGTATTATTAGTGTGAGTATTATTTGAAAGTGTTACTACTACCAGTATCTGTATTTATAAAGTCTTGTCTACAACAAGCATTTCGGAAGGGATAACGAGCATTCGTTGACCTAACAAAAGGTTAGAACAAGTGAACGTCTAACATCACAAAACACAGGCAACACTAATAAAGAAAATTAAAAGACATTAAAAGACAAGAAATGATAAGCTTATACACTGAAATTCTCAGTTATGCTTTTCTTAAAGTTCTTGAATTTTTTTTTTTCATTCTTACATAAAAACACTAGGAACCAATCATAATACTTGTGTTGATAACAAAAAATTTATATTAATGTCTTTTATAACATTTCATGCCAGCCTTAATGGACACTTAAAAAATTACATTTAAAATTGTTTTGTTTTTTTTTAATTGTAGACCTCTAGCAGTCATGTTTAGAATTGTTTCAGGTGTAGCATTTGTTGTGGCTTTTGTCACTACCTATCTCTTCAGTACACAAAACCTAAGTAGGTAACTATGGAGAACAGACTTAACCATTCAGGAGGTACCAAAGTCTCCCTGTCATTGAAATAATCCAAAAAGTTATGTACTAATATATATGGTTCCAGCACCAACACAAAAGGTGCCAGAACTGACTTCAGATTTTTTTTTTTCAGAGGTGGGGGACCCTCAAAGATTATCCCACGAGTAGATATAGCCACAATGCAATAGAGATTTTAAATTTAAAGTTATCTTTCTCCTAGACTAGTTGCCAATCAAAGCTAGGGACCCCAATCTGCCCTACTATTTAACCTTTAACTTGTGAAGAGATGTACAAAAGTGAACACAAAAATGTCTAGCAAATCCAGTGTATATTTTAGCATTTTATTTATTGAGGAATAAATGACAATGGAGAAAAAAAAGTTTCCCAGAAAATGGATTTGACAATATTCTAAAAACTTTAAAGGACTTACATAAAAAATTTATGCCCCCCCCCAAAAGTCCAAAACGACCATTAGTCTGTTGTTAACTGGGACAAAGGATAGCTTGTTAATTTTAATGCCTCCAAAACTAAACTGATCTCTATTAATCATCTGAAAGACCTGCTTTCTAACAGCATGGCTGATGCTAACCTCCAGGAAAATGACTTGTTGCACCTTCTCAGGCTAATGTTCTCGGTTGACATGAAGTGGAATGATTTTATTTAATCCATTGCTAGGTCAGCTGCTAAGAAAGTTGGTTCCCCATGTCGTGCAAGACAAATTTTCTCTCTAGAATCTATCTTACATATCTATAAGTCTACCAATCATCATTGCTTAGAATATTGCTGCCACATATGGTCTGGTGTTATTTACCTAGAACTCCTTGATAAAATCCAAAGAATCAACAATATTATTGTAATCTGTCATTTCGGATTCAGTCACTTTCCACTGCCATAAGGTTGCCTTCTTGTACCTTTTCTATAAACACTTTCACGGTAATTGCTCAGATGAGCTTTTTGCTATAGTACCTAAACTTTTTGAATTTAAGCACAGCACTGATGTCAAGATCTCGAAAATTTACAATTGAGTTGGCTAGATGTAACCATAAATTCTATGATAACAGTTTCTTTTCTCACACTTCTTGCTTGTGGAACTCCCCTATGGCTCTATGCTTTCCAACCAACTTTGATCTTCAAAAATTTAAATGCAATGTCAATCACTATCTACTGTCTTCCTGATTACTCTTTTGTTCTTGCTCCTTAAGTAATGTTTCTGTTTTTAATTCTTGCAAACCCAATAACCCATTGTGTCTTAGTGGCTTTATTGCCTTGCTTATGATAACTTGATAAAAAAAAAAGAAAGAAAAGATTTGGCTCAGTCTCAAAACCAAAAGAGATGAACTTAAAAAGATTACGTTAACGAGGATGTCTATATTTGTACTTGATCAAATTTCCTGCCACACTATAACAAAGCTTTTCCCTTTTTAAATGTTGCTTCAGAGCAACTGAAGTTATCATAAACTTTGTACCCAAGTAAACCAAGAATTGCCTTTACTTTTATTGCCGCCTGTTTTCAATATAAACACATTATAGAAATGCTTCTACTGTTACAGATTAAAAAAGACAAAGTAAAAAAAAAAAAAAAATGAATTCAATAATAATTGCAGCACAGAACGATGCTTAGTTTTTTTTTTTATCCAGCTTTGTTAGAAAATGCAATGAGGAGGATTTACTGCTAAGTGTAATTTCCTTAAAATTGATTTGCTTTAAGGTTTCCTTTCTTTTCTCCTTTTTCTTCCGAGAAGGAAAAAAAAAAAAAACAGATTACAGACAAGAAAGAGATAAATGAATAAGATTACCAGAAATAGAATGAGAAACAAAATTAAAAAACATTTATAAAAAAAACAAAAAAAACATAATAGATTAAAGAATGATGTACAAGAAAATAGTTGTGAGAAAAAAATGAATGTTGCTGTCAGCTCTTTTATAGAATTTGCAATTTTGAAATAAAGCGTAAATAGAGTAGGTAGAAGATAGTATGTATTGCCATTGTTGGTTTATTTATAAATGATATCAATTTAAAAAGAAAACAACCTTCAGATACAAAGCCTCATATTTTCACTCAGAGAAATTGTTTGGAGAAAGTAATAATAAAAAATAAAAATAAAAAAAATATATATAGGAGTTTTTTTTTTTTTACTGACACTCAATATCTTGGTTTAAGAAATATATGCATACATCTCCATCAGTAAATTGACAGTATTAATAAGTTTACACCCCAGAAGGGTACATCAATAAGTTTACAGCTTGACAGAATTATTAGCTGAATTTAAAAAAAAAAATTTTCAGCATATATTTGAACTACACAACCAATAGAGAAACATTAGATCAAGTGCATTGACAAAGAATAAGTTTATGCTGTTAAATAAATATTTGCAGTATGGAAAAAAAATTTCATTACTAAAAAACACTGTGGATATTTAGGCAGCAATTTTTCATTGATGCATATTTCATTAAATAATATAGACAAGTTTTGTCTATTTATTTTAAGTAAGTTTCTTTCATATTGTCTGATAAGCTTAATAACATCATCATTGAAGGACAAAAGGAAATTGCCATATTGATACATATTTAAATCCAATCTTAGCTTTCAGCTTACATAAGCCATTATCAAAGATGACAATTACTTTTCAATATATCAACCAATACACGGAACAATAATGATAGTCTGTTTTTGTTGCATGAAAAATTTCAAAGTAACGACTAACTAATGTATATGAGATGCAAAAGTGAGAATCGCGTCGCAGCTCATGACATCATACATGACCATGCAAGAGTGAAAACGAGAAGTATTAAGTATGGGAAGCCATTGGTATAAACCAATAGCTTCTGTTATCAATTATAGGCATTTAAGAATTTTTGGGGAGATTTCGTAGTTTATTTTGTTCAGGTTAGGTTTCAACTGTTTTATGTATATAGCTTCAAGAATTTTTAGTTTTTGTTTATTGTTTTCATGTTTAAGTATAGTTGTGTTTTCAACAAATTGTGTACATGGTCAGGCATGTTGTTTTAAATGCCTAAAAATGTTAGAGTTATCATTCAAATGTAGAGTCAAGCATCGTGAAAGCAACAAAAACAGACTATCATTATTGTTCCGTGTATTGGTTGATATACTGAAAAGTAATTGTCATCTTTGATAATGGCTTATGTAAGCCAAAAGCTAAGATTGGATTTAAACATGTAACAATAGGTGATTTTCTTTTGTCCTTCAATGATAATTGTATTAAGCTTATCAAACAATATGAAAGGAACTTACTTAAAATAAATAGACAAAACTTGTCTATATTATTTAATGAAACATGCATATATATATATATATATATATATATATATGTGTGTGTGTGTATGTATGTATGTAAATAATTATGTATTCGATTTTGTTTTTTGTTTATTTAATTTTTCTTGTATTCATATAATTTTTTTCTGGACATAAATTATGTACAAATTGTCCAAATGTTGTGTATGTCTAAGAACTTTCAGCTATTCTTTAGCTATTATCAAGGATGATTTTTATTTTTACTTTTAACTGAATGTATAGATTTTTTCTTTTTTTTAACATTCTTTAATGGTAAAGCACACCTGGCTTGGAGGTGGTTTCTCAGATTAAAAAAAAGGATACAGATTTAATTCTTGTCAGGAGGTACATTTTCTTTAAAAAAACTTTTTTTCATCTCAAAACAGGTAAATACTAATTTCACCGTTTACAAAAACAGAGTTGTTTACTCAAACACAAGTACCCACTAAATTTAATGTTTATGGTAATAAGAAATATATATTACACATGCACCCTTAATGACATACTATTTTTACTTAATAAAAAAGTATAATGAAATTCGGTTAAGTACAAGTACTAGTAGAATATGGTTTCTGAGTAAATATTAACCTACCAGATACTTCAACTTTGTATATAAGACCAGATATTTTCTGAGGGTTTTAAGAGGGATAAAATTAAATATGTAACCTAATGATGATATAACAAAAATTTTTTTTACAAAAGAAATAACTTATTGTTCAATAATTTTCTATTTTAATCCACTTAGCCAAAAGTTTTTCCATTAATCACATAGAACATTATACAGTGAAATATTCAGAAAATTCAGTTAATAACAATTGTATAAGAATTTCCAAATTGAAATAAGAGCCCACAACAAGTGTTTGAAACCTGTGAAAACGTATATTTCAATCATAAAATCCAGAAGAAAAAAAAAACAAACAAAAAATACCACAAAGACAAAAAAAAATGGTCTTACCAAGAAACTGGAATGCATCATGGAAGTATGGCAGCATCTTATCAAAGTAATTATCATTTATTGGAATGCGGAGGAAGTGACTCTCTTGTATAAATGGAGGTTGCTTACATGTGGTTGTGACATTCAGAATATAGGATATGCCATTAACCTAAAGTAACAAAATAAATGAAAAAAATATATTAAAAACAAACAAACAAAAAAAAAGATATGGCTAACTTTGATTTTCAGAACTGATTGTGGAACCAAATTCATTTGGCAACTTAAGGTGTAAATGTGGTCATTCAAAAAATTAATTCTTAGAGCGTTGTTGATTATATTTAAAATCATTAAAATTAACATAATTATTTTTAAAATTAAAATTAAATTAAACTATTCTTTTCCAATGCATGCTTCTTAAACCTTTGAGTGGACGAGTAGAGATGTGAGCATTCAAATAAAATTTTATATCATAAATTAGCATAATATTTGGTTTTACGAAATTACTGAGTTAATGAAAGAGGCAATATGTCAAATGATGTATATTGAAAAATATTTCCTACTTTTCAAAATAAGAATAAAAAAGGTTCTATTCATATTGAAATTGATTTAATAACTCAATCTATTAATGACCTTTAATAAAATTGAAAATAAAATGGTTAAAATACAAAGCCTGAATCATAAATATAAGCATATTCATGTAAATACTGCTCTTGGCATCCTTTGCTTGATGTCAAGCCATTTTCAATTTGTAGAAATTGTATATATTGACTTACAGATACTAAATACTAAATAATAATATTATTATTATTTATATTATTAATCAATTATCACTGGTGTACCACTATGGCTGATGAAATGGAGTGCAGACATTTCCATGAAATTAACTCTAATTAGCAATTAATAGACATGGAGTTATCTAATGCGGACATAGTTTTCTGTAAGTTTACACTTAATTGAATTACCTGGAAACCATTATCTTGAAATGGTCTGGAATTTGCTTCTTTCTTCAAGTTACAGAATTTTTATTGTACTGTACTAACAAAGATTGCACCATGATATGCCATTTTTGTGTTACAATAACAAATATATATCAGATTTGTTATATAGATTGACAAAAATATGCTTTATCATAATTTTAGCTATCTAAAAACTTACTCATTTCCTCTTACCTGTATAATATCTTGGGACATAGCATCCCTCTGTGAACCTAAGTATAGAAAATGAAGAATCCTCGTTGGTCCTACGTTGCTGATCGGCAGACATGGCTGCGACAGAGATGTCAGGGAAGTACACTTGTTAGATTTACTCTCACAAAGAGACGGATGCATAGCTTGGAAAACCAAAAAGCCACCTGAAAATAACAAAAACAATGAAAAATAAAAAAAAATTTCTTTTTAAATAATTTGCAAACATGCCATCTTGTATGAAAAGCATTTGCATTACATTGAAACAACAATCAGAAATAAATATAATTACTCAATTTATAAAGCTTGTAGATCTATAAAATAAAACCAGTGATCCCAAAACTTTTCCGACTGTTGACTTCTTTCTGAAGTTTCTAATCCTTCATTGCCTTGGGTATGAACAAAGATTGATTTGTATATATATATTTTTTTATAGCTTATCAACCCTTTGTTAGTTATTTAAAGCTGAAACATATTTTGGATTCTAAGAATTTTTTTTTTTTTTGTGAATGAATATTGCATTAACTACTTTTTGAGAATAATTCCTTCCAGAAACAAGTCTTACTATTTAACCAATAGCTATGGAGAGGCAATGTATTCATACCTTTCCCAAAGGTATTTACACATAAGTGACAGTAACAAATCTGATCAATATTTACAAAAATGTAACTCCTTTTTGAGGAGATTCTATTTGCATAAGTGAGTCAAAGTTGTATACTAAGCCCTGACAGGCTATTGGTCTGTATCTCTTTCTCAATGTTATAAGGATAGATTTCTCATGAAATATAAAGCATATAAATAGATAGATATTACAACAAGCTGTCGTCTTGGGATTTAAAGTAATTATAATAATTAGACAAGATTTCAGTTGGTTTCAGTTTTATTTAGTAAAATAAAAAAAAAAAGAAAAGGAAAATAAAATTGAACTAAACCAAACAAAACTGGTTTCATTACATGACAGAACTAAATAAAATTAAACTACTTCTAATAATTATTTTTTAACCATATAGAGGAGATATCTAACTGAAAATGTCCAAGCCAAAAACTTAAGTTGTGAACGATATTCCAATGGGGCGGGGGGTGAGAGAGAGAGAGAACATTGAGAAAAAAAAAAAAAATCAAAACTTAGATTTGCAGTCACTGAAAAAAAAATCAAGAAAAAAAATTGTGTTGTGCTTACTACATCTGTAGCATGAGCAAATTGACACCAGAGGGTTATTTAGACCTTCTGAAGAAACTATCGTGAAATCCCACCTGTAGAGCAGATTTTCAGTCTATTATATATGAATCAGTAATGTATATCAGAAAGTTGCATTTTAGGTATTTTCATTTCTTGTATAAAATCCAATTTTCAATATCAAAAGGTTCAATCAATTCCCACCAAGCATTATCAAAATTCTCAGGTATTAATGACCCCTTAGAAAGTTCTGTCAACACCCAGAGATTGATACCAAGGTTTTTGAGACAACTGATTTTTTACATTCATCCGAATTAGCTTTTCTTTAACACATTCTTGAAGAAACCTTTATTCAAGAATAGTTAAGATCAACAATGTACATTCACACATTTCAAATAGATAAATTAAAATGTATGCTTGAAAAACCAGTACAAATTTTTAAATATCAGCAGAAAACTTATTTACACTTTAATTATAGCAACTAAAAATTAAAGAGATTCTAAAATAAAATTAAAAAAATATTGCCATAGTTGTCTACTTTTCCATTTAGCAAAACCTGGAAAATGTTGATATGTTGTAAAACAAACCAAATCAAAGTAAGTACTAAATGTATTTTTATTATGTTTTGTTATTCAGACCAGCCTGAGTGTTATACAATATTTCAACCACTCTACTCTCCTGCTTTTTCATGTGTTTGTCTTTATACTCAGTAACCTTTTGAAAAGTCACATACTTTGGTCCAGTAGAAGAAACAGAAAAGGGACACTAAGGTGAATAAAGCTAGTAAGTGATACAAAATAACTAGTAACTGATATGAATATGATATACAAATAAAACGAGTAACTGATATGAAATATCAGTTAAGCATGGTTGCCTGGCAATTGCAAGATCAATCCCTGGATCTGATAGTGTTGAAAAGTCACATACCAGATCCAAGGATTGAATCTTCCACTGGATCAGAGTATGTGACTTTTCAGCACTACCAGATCCACGGATTGATTTCACAACTGTCAGACAACCATGCTTAAGGGATATTTCATATTGGTTAATACTTACTAGTTTTAGTCACCTTGTTGCTTTTCAGTTTATTTCACTGAAATATGCAAGCAACATTAAGGTGAATAAAACTAGTAAGTATTAACTGATATGAAATATCCCACAAACATGGAAAGTGGAATGGGAACAATTTACCCCATAGATTAAGTAAATGGTCTGGTTTGAAATTCCCACAAAGTTTTCAAATACAAAGATGGATACCTGAAGAAGGCCAGAGGTTACAATAGCTGAAACATTGTGAATATAAAAATCAAGATGAGTATAGTTTGAATAGCAAAGCAAGGATAATAAGGATAATGGCTCATCTCAAAAATTATGAGAAATATTTTTTTTATATTTTACAGATCTTTTACATCAAAGAGTGTTTCCATCCTGGGTATGATGATAAACTACATCCAACAGCAAGGCCTCTGATCAGGAGGTTTTGAGGAGCGTGGAACCACCTCTTAATTGCTGGTGTTCCCAGGTTCACCTTGACCCAGGGTGGTAGCACCTGTTAGGGTCCCAGCTATGGGCAAATAGTTAACATCCAAACTTGTGTAAAAATAGGTTTTAATACCAGAAATACTTTGTAATAAAAAAAAATTATTACCAGCAATAATTTTTGAAGGAAAAAATACAAGCTATACTTTAAAAAAAAAAAAATTTTTTTTAAATTTAAAAAATACCAGCAATACTTTAAAAAATAATAAAAATACCAGCAATACTTTTTTTTTTAAAAATAAAAAATACCAACAATACTTTTTTTTTAAATAAAAATAAAATACCAGCCATACTTTTATAAAAAATAAAAATACCAGCCATACTTTTATAAAAAAAAAATAAAAATAATAAAAAAAATAAAAATACCATACTTTTTAAAAAAAATAAAAATAAAAAACCACCATAAAAAAAAAATAAAAATAAAAATACCAGCCATACTTTTATAAAAAAAAAAAAATAAAAATACCAGCAATACTTTTATAAAAAAAAAAAAAATAAAAAATACCAGCAATACTTTTATAAAAAAAATAAAAAATAAAAATACCAGCAATACTTTTATAAAAAAAATAAAAAATAAAAATACCAGCAATACTTTTATAAAAAAAATAAAAAATAAAAATACCAGCAATACTTTTATAAAAAAAAAAAAAAATAAAAATACCAGCAATACTTTTATAAAAAAAATAAAAAATAAAAATACCAGCAATACTTTTATAAAAAAAATAAAAAATAAAAATACCAGCAATACTTTTATAAAAAAAATAAAAATACCAGCAATACTTTTATAAAAAAAATAAAAAATAAAAATACCAGCAATACAGTTATACATTCTTTGAAAAAAAATATGACCAGCTATATATTTCTTCAAGAAAAAATATTCCCAGAAAAAGATTTTTGAAGAAAAACATTACCAGCAATAAAAAATTTTGTCAGCATTAAATAACCCATTGAGGTTGATATGCCATAAAACAAACGAAACCAAACAAATCAAAGATTGCTTCAAATCCACATTGAAAGGCAGCCTCTGGCTCCACTATTTTATAATAATCATCACCATTCAGCTGTACCTTTCGTTTCAGATGTTATAATGGCAGATACAAGGTGTAAAATTCTATTTGTGATTTTCAGGCATTATTTATATCAAAGCTGCCAAAGTTCTTGCAGTATTACGAGGGAAGGAAATAAAACAATATCTGGCTGTATTGCCTTAACTTGTTTTAAGGGTTGTAACTTATCCCTTGAAATAAAGCCCAGCAGTAGATAACCATCAATTGTCAATTAAAATGCTTTAAAATATGTGACAGAAGAGAATACAACTATCAGCACTGAAAAATCTGGGTTCATCGAAATATACCTTATAGAGAGCATTAGATAAGCTTCAAAAAACACAACAGTTTATTAAAAGTGAAATACTTTTGACATTACTTGCATTACTCTGACTGTTATCCTCATCTTCATTGCCATATTCACAATGTTTTGTCTGTTGTATGCTCTGGCTTTCTTCAGGTGATTGGAATTTCAAACCAAACCCTTTATTTCGTCCACTGGGGTAAAATTATTCTAGTTCCACGTGCCATGCCTCTTCCAGGTATCTCAGTTATTTCCCTTTAACTCAACTCTCCAAGTTTTTGCTTCACCGCTGCTGTGACCTGGTATTGAACTCACAACTCTTTGGGTCTTGTCACTGGATCTAACCAACGTCTTTATCCACTGGGCCATGTGTTCTTGAGGATACAATGATGATGAGGATAACAGTCCGAGTAATGTAAATAATGCAAGTAACCATAATACCTCATCTCATTTTGCATGTTTGCTTCAATTTCTGACCACTGACAATCACTTTCTGATTTTCAATAAAGATTAAAACAAATTTTACATGAAAAAAAACTTGCATACTTCAGTGTTTAAACCTCAAAGTTTTTTCTATCATCAAAAATATCTTGGTTATTAGTGCAGAAAAAAGACCCAAATTAAACAAAGCAGTAGTGGAGAAAGTGTAAAGTCAGTGGGTAGCAAAAAACTTGCTTACATATACCACATTCAGAGTCAGCACTAAATTACAATTGTGATTGTTTCATTTTACTCTCCAGATACCAACAGAATTTGTCCTGTCAGAGTGAATGGAACAGAGCTTAACAGCTGAGCGATTTCTGAACCAATAGTTGAGAGCATCCAGCTTTAAACCTTGCCTAGCCCCAAGGTTATCATCTGAAAGTGAGAAATACAACTGTAGACAATTCAAAAATATGTTGGTGACTATTAAAAGATATTTATAGATGGATACTAAGAAAGCCCTGCAATTTATTAAATGGAAATTGAATTTGTTAACAATGAATTTTAAGAGGACACTTTAGGCTGATAATTGTAAAGACAAACTTCATCTATTTCTGAATCATAATTAAAATGGTTTATATTCTAGTTTGACCACAATTTCCATATTGTCTGTCACAA